TTTTGATGTGGCTGCAGGAGGGGCGGGTGCAGCTGTTCCCTGCGCCGCCGGCTTGTTTTTCACCAGTACCTGGCTGTTTTGATTACAGTGGCTTTGCAGTATAGTTTGATATCCGTAATTTTGATCCCTCCTACTTTGTTCTTCTTTCTCAAGATTGCTGCCGCTATTTGGGGCCTTTTTCGGTTCCATATACATTTTTGGATTATTGGTTCTATAACTGTGAAATATACTGTTGGTATTTTAATAATAATTGAATTCAGTCTATAGATTACTTTGGGTTGTATGAATATTTTAATGATGTTAATTCTTCAGTCCATGAACATGGTGTATGTTTCCACTTGTTTGTATCTTCCTCTATTTCTTTTCAATGCCCTGTAGTTTTCTGAGGACAGGTCTTTCACCTCCTTGGTTAAATTTATTCCAAAGTATCTTTTCGTTGCTGTTGTTGCAATGGTAAATGGGATTGTTTTTTTGGTTTCTCTTTCTGAGAGTACATTATTGGTGTATAAAAATGCCATTGATATCTGGATGTTAGTTTTGTATCCTGGTAGTTTGCTGAATTCATTTATTAAATCTAGTAGCTTTTTAGTGGAGTCTTTAGGTTTTCCTATGTACAGTATCATGCCATCTATGAATAATAACAATTTTACTTCCTCCTTTCCAATTTAAAGGATCACCCAATAAAATCTTGCCACCGAATGTGTCCTTCTGCTTTGCCAGTGGTTCTCAGGGCACTTTAAAAGACCACCAGCACCTGGGACTCACAGGCAGTAATTCTGCTTTAATTAGTCTGAGGGTAACAGGTGTTTCTAAGAGTCAGGGACTTTTGAGAACCACTAGATAATGTGATCGAAGCAGTGTTATAAGATCTACTTGCAGTTCAGCCAACCCCGCCCTGTATTTTCTAAGCAACCACCTTCCCGGTTTAAAGAACCCTGGCCTCTGGCCCTAGACTGTCCGGCTAATGGCTTCAGCCCGTCCCCCCTTAGCGATGAAAGCGTGAGGACTGTTGCTTATTTCTGGAGCCCTCTCACCGTCATTCCCAGGAAAAGGGCTGCACACGGTTTTTATTATGTGTAGTAATCTTTATTTTGTCTAGGGCCTCTGGCCATTTAGTGGGGGAG